GGAATAAAATTTGAGTGCTTATGATCAATCTGTTAATTCCAAAGGATTATTAAATTTACGTTTTAGCAACAACATCCCAGGATCAAAACTACGAGGGAGAATTGGAGTATGGCAAAAAGCACGGAAATGGCATTTACACGTGGCCTGATGGTCGCCGATATGAGGGACAATGGAAAGATGACACGCAGCACGGAAAAGGCGTTTACACGTGGCCCGACGGTCGTCGGTACGAGGGGACTGTAAAAGTTTCCGTTACTTCTTCAGCCGTTATCGACAACGGTAACTGGAAAGGCAGTTAGGGTTAAACCAACGGTAACTGAAAAGACAGTTACCGTTATTTTAACCTTAACTGCCTTTCCAGTTACCGTTGTTTTAACGGTAACCGTCTTTCCAGTTACCGTTAAAATTACGGTAACTATCAGTTAGTTAACTGCACGCTAACTGTTTCTTTCTCCTTATTATTTTACATTTCTCATAATCATATTTTGAAAATTAAGTTTTTCCGATAATAACACCTTTTATTATGAATACGAATGCCAAATTAAAGAACCCTTGGTCTTCAACAAGTACCGCACTCAATGCTGCTGTGTGCACATAATAAATCCTTTATAATTCGATACTAACTTCTATAATGAATAACCCCACACGAAAAAAATCGTTAGAAACGTCACGAAAAACGCGTTTTTTCCGAACGATCGTCTAAATAAGCGTTTGCTAGCGATTCAGTTGAACGTATTTTCTAACAAGGTTAAAACGGTCATTGAAACGGGTTTCTTTTTTATGAAAACGTGTTTACACAAAGAAAATAGTTCGAAGTTATATCATCTTAACGTTAGAAAACGCGTTCATCAAAAAGGCCAGAAAACGGTTAGTTCAACGATCGTTCGCTGACGTTTAAACGGCTCTTTTAACGGTCGTTTGCTAACGCAATCAGGAAAACGCGTTTTTGTGCCATTTTTATTTTCGTGATTTTCATTTAATTTTTTCTTCAAATTGAAATATTTCGTTAAGTAGTCTCATTTTACTGCTCTCCATTAGTTTGTTGTCAGCCAATGTAATGTTAAGAAGATATGCCATACTTTTTTCATATAAGCGCAGGTGATGTTTTATATTATTACAGATTTTTTGAATAACGTTTGATAGGAAGGTGACAGAGAGCTGAGGTTTTCACTGCTAGTCAAGAGTGGTGAAAACCTCAGCTGAGAGTCGTTTCACACAGGCTTTTGTAAGCGCTTAAATTCCATTTTGTAGAAGACACTTCGGACTATCTACCTATGGAAAATTATCAATAGATTACTAGTTTAGTTTCTAGTTTTTTCTAGTTGATGGTTCAAATCTCAGTATATTCCTTCTGTTTTCATTTTTTTTTATCATTTTACTACGCGTTAAATAACGTTTTCATTGTCGTTGATATTCATTGAAAAAGGTGTTCTCTCTCTAACGCTTTGAGAAATTCCGAACAAAGCGTTTTCAAATCGATAAACAAACGCACTTAAATGACAAAAAAAGCATTGGCTTTGACACGTTTTTTTGTCAATTTTATTACCCTTAAGATGCTTCTTTTGAATAAAATGTAGCAGCATCTTCATCCGTAATTGTCGACAAGTATCGGAAAACAAGATTTGTATGCAAAGGCATCTCAACATGTTATACAAATTGATAATCAATTCACCTTAAATGAACTGAGCATCCTAGTATATGAGAACAACGTTAAGAAGACAATTAAAAGAAATACTACTAACACACGAACACAAGGTGATAACATACAATGAAATGTAAAACAAGAACAGTAACATTTACATGAAGCAGGATAATTTTCTAGTATTCGTAGGCATTCGATTTACCATTCAAAATAATATAAGAAAGCAAAAATAATCTCCGGTTTCTTTTTATATTTTTCGTCCAATTTTGTTGAAGAAATTTGCATGATGTTAAGATAAAATATCCTTCACTAATTCTTCATCATGGAGTAACAGTACCGAAGTACCGATCGCCATAGTCGCCAATTCCTGGGAGAATGTAACAGTGTTCATTCAATCCCTGATCGACAAAACTCGTAACAATCTTCAGTTGTGGATATTTTGCGTATACACGCTGTAATCCTTCGGGGCACGCAATCAAATTAATGAAAGTAATTTGTTGAATAGTAACACCGAGTTTAATAAGCGTTTTTATTGCTAGTATACAACTTCCACCAGTAGCCAACATTGGATCCATTAAAAATATTTGCTTTGCTTGTGTTATGTTCATTGGAAGTTTGGTGTAAAAGAGTTTAGCTTGTTTGTTTTGTGTAAATTCATCACGTTGAATTAAAATTTTACCAATGGGAATGTCAGGTATCAATGAACGTAAACCGAATTCCATACTCTCACCAGCACGAACGATTGAAATTCCACATAAATTTAACTGGCTGTTCATAGTATTATCAGTATTGTTGTTGTTATACGATATTGATGAAATTAATGAACATCCCTGGAAGGGAACATTACACGGTGTTTGAATAGTTTTAATATCATAATAATCAGCTGGTAATATTGATAAAGTATACTCAAGTAAAGAATGAACTAATTTGTTCGAATATTTGACAAATTCCTGTGTGTTTGTAGATTGATCACGTAATTTTGTGTGTAATGCAAGTAAGTAATTGGAAAGAGATTGAATAGAAAGAGTTGGATATTTTAATTTTAATAACTTATCACTATCTTTAATACCTCCATTCATATTAGTATTCGAACTCCACATTTCGTTTCACAATGTTGAGATCTTTGAATAAAAAGGCAAAGCTACTGTTAGTTTTTAACGCAGATCACAAAACATCTAAAATTGTTTCAGGCTTTCTTTTATAGTATATGTTCTCAAAAACACTCTCGCTTAACTTTAACTGCTTAAAAAGTCCGAAGTAACGCTCAAAAACTTCTATTAAGCTTCCCATTTTTTAGTACCGTACAGCAGCGAATGCAAATTGAAAATCTTATGGTACAGGCTCATCGTGGTCGAAATCACTGCAAGTTTGTCGTCGGACTTTTTAGTAAAAAATACGTCTACCTTGAAATTCCATTAACTGTGTATCGCTGAATACAAATTGAAGAACTACATCGATTTCTGTTTTGTTCATTCTCACCTCTGTGAGAGAACAGGATGACGTTAAGTTGTCCTGGTTTGCTGCAAAATGCCTATACACTGCCAGTTTATATAAAAAGCTGTTTTCAGTTCTAATAAAAATCAGCAACTACGTATTTAAAATCTATCTAAAACGGATTGAAATATCGCAGCAGCGTTCAATACGTTGAGACAAGTTAGAGTAATGCAATAATGTTACATTACATTTTTCACCGTATATTCGATATTTAGGAATAAACTTGGCAACAAATGGCATCGACCTGTTTTGTATCCTGTACAGTTTTTTCTCGTTTTTTCCGTGAAATTACGCTATTCAGCTTTTCTCTATCGAGCGTTTACTACCCAGGTCGAAGGCGCCCAATCGAATTTCCGGAGATCAGAATCTGCTCAATTCCTTCGCATCCCGATTTTTGGTTCATGGAAGATCGAAGATCAGATCCGATATCCAGAACCTGTCCGATTCGTTAAGTTCCGGTAATCGAAAATTGACGGATCTTCAGCTATGCATTTTCCTTTTTTTCTCTTTCCTGTGCGCATAATATAAACAATATAAACTTCTAAGATCCTCAGAAGACCCTCGCTGCCGGGCTGAAGGTCCGAAGTAAAAACGATCTGATCGCATTATCGGATAGACCGTGCAATGGACTAAATAGGAGGAAAAAAGTCCTGTTCCATCACGTGTCTTCGCGGAGAAATATAATCTTTATTTTTGCTCTTCATTTTTTAGACGCGGAATTTTCTATCGACCGGACTCTAGAAAACCGTCCAGAACTCAGAAAGAAAGTCCTACGAAGCTCAAAATTTGGATTGAAAGGTTTTCACACATGCTGAAGAAGATAAAACTAGTTAGAAGCAAATCTGAGACATCGATTGAGCATTGTCTTATGGTAATCTGTCGTTTTTCTTACGCAATAGCTTTTAGGGGTACTCGATTCACTCATGGAACGTCTGTTAAAACACCTGAAAACTGGTCACATTCTGCGAAATCCGATGTCTGAAACTTGAAGGATACGCTAGCAAAATCCTGTCATTCTGTGAGATCGGATCCTGAGTTATCCAGCGATTTGCTACCTCACGATCCTAACCCAGTCAGTTCCTGCTAGGATCCAATCTGGACTTCATAGGACTCGGGTAGATCGTGGAACACCTTGGCATATCCTGGCTCAGGATCCTATCAGATCCTCACACTGGATTCTAAGACCTGGGTACCGTAGTTTGGAAAAGACTAACTGTGACTAATAATACCAATTTCTCATGTGTTTCCAATGTCTTACTTTTCTGGGAAACGATGTTCCTATCAGGTCGCCAAAACAGCAACCGACTGTTATACTAGACAACGTATTGAAAGCTGGAAAATCAACTCTAATTCAACAGAGAAAATTTACAGCTGTACATATGATTTCGACTTTTCAAACTGTACTTTCAGAAAAAATGTGAATAGTAGGGAAAAAACTGTACAAAATACAAAACGGTTCGACGTCATTTATCAAGTTGTTGATTCTTAAGTATCCTGTTATATGGCGAAAAATGTAATGAAACGTTATTGGATTACTCTAAGTTCTTTTTTATGGCTGTGTATAATATAGATAAAATTACGAACTAGAAAATAGCTGTCTTTCTCCGGACCGACACAGATTCTTCGAACTCCTCATGGAATGATCCATTTAAAAACACCAGACATGTTTTGGACATCACTGAGACTATATAAAGAAGATTCTATTTTTAAACCGACTCATCAAAATTATCTTCTTAAATAGTCAACTATGAACACAGTAATCCTTATTCTTGTTGAATTAAACCTTTGATGATGTTCACTGCATGCCAGAGTCATTCATCGATTTCAAAGACAGAACTTAGAGCAACTTAGCTTACCTTTGTGTGATGACGTAAATCACAGTTAATTAAAAATGATTTCTGAAGAATTTATTCAACTCTTTTTATATAGTGTAATAAACGTATCTCTTAGAATAATCTTTAACTTTCTTATTTGCATGTTCATAATAGCCGTCCTCTTCGTTTTCATTTTATTTCAGAAATTCATTTCCTTTTATTTCTTGTCTAGCCAGCTAAAAATGTGAAATATAAATATATATAGGTAGATGAGAACGGAAAAAAGTTATGTAATCAGTATGAGCCTTTTTCTCATCACTTCTGTTCTTTCTAGTGTGACCCATCAGTATAACATATTAATTCTAAATACTGTCTGTGTGTATGTATACTAAGTGACTTGTTGAAAGCAAAAGCAAAAAATGCATTGTGTTTATAAACAAGAAAGATTATTCCCTTAACTAAAAGTCTACGGTCATACAAGCGAAATGTCCGTCCACAGTAGACTAATACTATCTTCCTGAAGAAATGTTTCTATGAGCACTAGTAACAAAAAGATAATGTTTGTCAGTCTTGTTATCAATAAAGTAATTGATATTTTAAATAATCCAAGAAAATTTTTTAGCAGTAATCACTGTTGATGAAATAGTGACCGGGAAGAATAAAATTAATAATCAATGAGAGGAATTCCAAATAACAGAAAAGTACTTAAACAGAGAGGTTGCAACTTAAAAGTTAGGGCCCAGAGGTTATCTACCTACCATGCTGAATTCAATGGAAATGTCAATTTCATTTCATTTTGACTTCCATAACGGGGTTCTGGAAAACCTATATTTTGAGTTTACAGGTCTTGGGATCAGTTTTACAAAAAATTCTACGATGATTGAAATTTTTATTCAATGCACTCATCGAATAGAGTCGCACATCGCACTCTCTCTAAAAACTTATTTTGATAAAAAAAGAATTTTTATTTAGAGATTTTAAAAGGTTTTCGCTGAAAAACCAAGATTTTCCGGAGTTCTTCTCTTATAGGAAGAGCTGCAAAGTTAAAATTTTTTTGTTTTGAACTTGCTCACCTATGTAGTTCGAATGTATGAGGTTGTCAAAATTATATCTCAATAACTTAATGTTTTCCAGGAGTTTGCAACTGTCAGATTAAATATTATAGTTAAACTTAAACTTTTACCATAGATATATAGTCCAAAGTGTCCGCTAAAAAACTGGATCCAAGCGACATCTTAGAAATCCATAGTTCGGGACCTTTGGACGTTTTTCCTGAAACCTCAGCACTCCTCTCCTGTTAGATTTGAGACTGCCAGGAATCAATGAAAACATACACTCTAAAAAAAAATCCGACTTATTCTATCCGCCTTACTCCTGTATTGGTCTAACTTTTTTTCTTCCGTCTTATTTGAAGACAGACGAATTTATCAGTCTTATTTGTAAGACCGAAGAAAGAGGTCTTATTTTTATCGTCTAAAGGATGAGAAATCATTCATCTCTTTTGTTTCGCATTCACTACTTGTATATAAAGAACAGAAAATTTAATGAAAATACACTAGGAATTTTTCCATTTTTCTCTTATAGAATAGTGACAATAGCTAGACCGAAAATACTGGACCATTCTTATGAGATTAGATCATGCGTGATCTAATTTTGAAATTCGAAATGTTATAGAAAACAAGACAGATGACTTTATCGGTCTTAAAATAAGACACTATAAGTCGGTTGACGATTAGTCGCATACACGGGTCTTAAATTAAGACGCTTCTATCCGTCTTATTTTAAGACCCATGTATGCGACTAATCGTCAACCGACTTATGGTGTCTTATTTTAAGACGCATTATTTTTTAGAGTGTAGGTTATCGACTATGCCTAATCTCGTGAGAATGCCAGTTCTCGGAACAAAATGCAACAACCGAGTGAAAACCTATACAGGTGAAATAATCCATTTCTGATTATTTTCATCAAAAATTAAAAATTCATAACTCAGTCAAAATCCCCCCAACCACCAAAAAACAAACAAAGCATTCTTGAACAGGAAAGCAGGGAAAAAAGCGTAACCTTATAATCTAAAACCATACCACCTTGAATGAGTTGAAAAAGGAAAAACAAAAAGGACAAGAATAAAAAAATGAGAATATAAGAGCGACACAATCATCATAAAACGAGACACCTTCTAAGTACGGTTCTAAGCTTATTGCAAAAAGGATGGTGGAAGATTTTGAACAATGGAATATGGTAAAACTACCAAAGCTACATGTTTCTAAGAGCTCTTTTGAAACGTCTCACAGTATGACAAGACACCATATTCTCTAGTAAAGTATTCTACTTAGTCGCGATTGTATGGAAGAAAGAGGATGCAACGTGAGCTTTCGTTACAGTGGCTGTCTTAACTTGCCGAATATTTTGTCTATCAGACTTAAGACGACCAGATCGGCGCTCCTTTAATGGTAGAATGAATGGAGGCTGAAGATCGGAAAGCGGCAATAAATTATTTTTGATTTTAAAGAAATGTAGCAGTCGAGAATATTTTTTTCCTAAAGATAAATCCGAAATGTTTAACTGATTCATTGACTCACTAACTGAGCCGCTAAATTTTTACAAATAAGTCTTACTGCTAACTTGCTCACCTTACCAAGAACAGAACTATATCATTGGTCACCATAAATACCTCGACATGCAAGACTTATAAATTAGAAGACGGATAGACCGCGGTGCATCTTTAAATGTACAACACATAACGCCAAGTCGAGGCCTACAAACAAGAATTATGCCATTGATGTGCGCTCTC